TCATCCGCGACTTGTACGGCATGGTCAGTACAGTCAGGATGAGCTGTGGTTTTCCTGCACAGTTCAGGACTACGTCTGGTCTCAGGCTGGGTTGTTGGATTGTTTCTGAGTACTTTCCGAAACCAGACAGGTCGACCGCCAGTAACCAGTCCCTTGCACTGTCAAGTATTGATAGAGCGTATGCGACCTAGTTGACTCTACCTTTAGAAATCTGCCCAGCACTGAGAAAGCGCATGGGGGAGGAGGGTTGGGGGGGGGGGGGGGGGAATTGGCCCTCGTGTTGACCCTCATCCTAGTTTTTGCTAAAATATCCGCTAGCTTTTTTAGGACTTTGTTGTGGCGCCATGTTTACCGTCCCTGGCCTAGGGCTTTCCTGCACATGGACAATACGTGCTCGAACGTCTGCTTCGCTCTGCATAGAAGACATGTCGGTTCGGTGGTCGCACACCACTTCATTATGTTGGCACCAGAGGGTAACACATCATAAACAGATCTGTGGACTTAATGGATCGATGTGCAGTGAGAATATCTGTTGATCAATCAGCTAGTTACTAACTGTCTGATTTTCTCCCACCAAGATCCCGTCCGTTGAACTTGCCTTAACGCTGCTCAGTATTCGACATCAGGAATTCGCTTACTTTATTTTTAGATTGATTCAAAACAAAGGCACTTTCCATGCACTTTTTTTATTGAAGAAGAATGAAGAAGTACATAGCTCGTTACAAAATAAAAACATATAAAAATCAAATAACGCTACAAAATGTTGTGTTAAATAGGTATCTTCTTTAAGATATAAACAGACAGTGATGCATCTAGAGTTGAAAGAAAATTGAACAACTGTGTAATTGTATGCGCGTGTGTATGTGTGTGTGTGTGTGTGTATGTGTGTGTGTGGACGGGCTACCCAACGAAAATTGTTAAGTATAGATGGGTATGGTGTGCACTTTTTCAAAACTTGTGGGCATCGTTTAAATACTCGTAATAGAAAGTATAGGACTCTTTTCCGCGCCTAGATCAGTGGTTCTACATACACATATCTCTGGAGATATTTAATCAGGAACATCGCTGTTTGTGATATGTGACCTATTTTCCTGAGTATTAAAATCTTATTAAACGATCTTCCAATCAACTTTCAGGTGCAGACACGCTTCTGTAGAGCTGACACCTAGGATTGTTTATCCGGCCAAAGACCAGAGCAGGCTGACCCTATGCTTAAAATGTCATAGGAAGTATAGGCGGCCGTTGTGGTAACGATATCATGGTTTGTGTAACAGATTTTGTCTATCACCATACAGCATACAAACGGATGCATGCTATAGAGATCGTATGTTGGAAAGATACACGATTGCTCACACATGTCGGCTAGGAGAATGTCATATAGGGTGTATGTTTAATTTGGAAAATATTCTCATTTCTTCTTCTTCTTCTTCTTCTTCTTCTTCTTCTTCTTCTTCTTCTTCTTCTTCTTCTTCTTCTTCTTCTTCTTCTTCTTCTTCTTCTTCTTCTCTTCTTCTCCTCCTCCTTCTCCTCCCCTCCTCCTTCTTCTTCTTCTTTTTTCTTCTTCTTCTTCTTCTTCTTCTTCTTCTTCTTCTTCTTCTTCTTCTTCTTCTTCTTCTTCTTCTTCTTTTTCTTCTTCTTCTTCTTCTTCTTCTTCTTCTTCCTCCTCCTCCTCCTCTTCTTCTTCTTCTTCTTTTCTTCCACCTTGTACTTTAAAGAAGTGTCCGGGGGGGGGGGGGGAGATGTAACATTCGTCGATGAGCTCTGTCAAGAGCACTATTAGGATTGATGTTCATTTCTTTAAGGCTGTTCTTAATGCCATCACTCCATTTTAACGAGGTCTTCCGCTCGCTCTATACCCGTTGTAACGTTTCAGTGTGGCTCGCTGTGGCAGATAGTACCAGGGTATTCTTGTAAGATATTGAGACCACTTCATGTTCTTTGATGACCTGTAAGACTGGCTTTATTCCTAGCATTCGTCTGATTTCGTATTCTGTCTTTCCTTGAAACTCCTGCAGCTCTTCTAAGGCATTTCATCTCTGTTGTCACAATTTTATGTTTATTTGAGGATGTAAGTTGGGCATTGATAGCATAGTGTTGGCCCAAAACTAAAACTAGTTTTGATAAGATTAACTTTAGTAGTTCGGATTATCTGCCTGTGTGTCAACAGGGGAGATAGTTGCCCCATTACTTGTTAGATTTGGCACAGCTTGAGTTAATTTCTATGTCCAGTTTTCTATCGAATGTAAAAATCGCCCCCAACCGCCTGAATTCCTCCGTTTGCCTTGAGGCGTTTTTTTTTTTTTTTAAATTCCATTTACAAATTGTCTTTCTGTTTTTCTATCACCATTGAAAATATTGCTATTCATATTCTTATAATCACCGTCTGTGGAATTAATTGGCAACTTTCCGTCTTTCCAGACGATAGTGTTATACTGCGCTATGAGGAGCCATGGGACTCACAGCCCATGGCGATGGCGAATGTGATAAACGAGAACAGCCCACGTTAAGAAATGTCGTCCACAATTATAGCACGGGATTTCACGACCATTATTAATAACATTTGGGTTTGTTTAGTCTGTTTCTGCTCAGCTCTCATCCTTTCTGCATTTCTTCCTTTATTCTCATTCCATTCCTGATGTGCCCTCTCCACACAACACGGTCCATAACATTTTGTTCCCATGAGTTCACCTCACTTCCTGTATCATTCATGCCCCCTCGCACACATCTTTATATCGTAGTAGAGGTCGGTCTTGACATCTGCTACCCGTCTTTAGTTCACCATAAATGATGTCCTTGGGGACTCTGCCATTCCCCATTCTCCAGGTGTGACTTAACCACCTGAGCCTTCGTACAGTGAGCATTGAGAAGACTGTTGTAGTATCGGCTCTTTCCAATACCTCAGTGTTTGCGATCTTGTCCTGCCGCTTAATGCAAAGTATTCTTCTTATGCATCGCATGTGAAAGCTTTTTAGTGGAATTAATGCAACATATACTTCCATATTGTGTCTTATTTTGGGTACTATTTCTAGCTGTATTAACATTCTAATCTATTGGTTAAATTCATTCATTCAGTAGAATGTCCCTCGCGGAACCTCGCTGCCATAACAACCCTCCGGAAAACCTTCCTATCATGAGCAAGATGTCCTGAGTCTGACACACCCATCTGGAGATCATCTGCCACATCCTGCACCCATCTTCTCCTTGGCCTTCCTCTTCCTCTCTTCCCAGGCATATACCCCTCCATTATTGTTCTCTCGAGACTTCCATGACGTTTCAAGTGACCAAAATATTTCAATTTTCTTTGTTTTATTGTCTTTACTAGCCAACCCTCTTCAATATTCAGCTCTTGAAGTATGGATGCATTTGTTCTTTTCTTTACCCAAGATATTCTTAGAACCTGTCTGTAACATTTATATTCAAAGACAGGTTCTAAGAATATCTTGGGTAAAGAAATTGGTTAAATGGCTAATAGTATTACAATTAGGCACTTGAGTATCAGGAAACGATATTATCAATTGTAGAATAGCCACATTCAAATACCTGCCAAGGAACAAACACTCAATCAAAGATACTCTTTCTTCAATAGTTAACACCATTACAGCTGTGATCCATTATAACTTCCCCGGTTTGTGCCAGAGATATTCTTTACCAGAGAGATATAACAATTATTTAAAAATGCACATAAAATATATTAATCTGAACGATATATATAACCTTGACAAGACTACAAGAGCTTCTATAACTTTCCTCCGGGATATACCGGTGTTATTGGAAACGAACAGTTGGACAGACTGGCTGGCTCTGCACAACTTGGTGGAATGTTGATGCATGAGCAGACAGACGTGGTTAGGACCTTGTGGGAGAACGTGGAGAAGGAGGAGCAAATTATCATCACAGTCTGGTGAGAGTGATGCAGCGGGAAGTGTCGAGGGGATCTGGTTTATTCTCAATGCTCAGAGGAAAAGTAAGAAAGACGTATAGTCAGTCTACTGGCACCATTGGTATTGGAACTCTGCGCTGGCTGCCGAAAATGGAGACGGGGCGTTTATGGGAAGCTGTGATGGTTCTTGAATTAAATCAACCTAAGTCTAAGTTAGTGGTTACTTGGCGCTTAAAACATGTCGTAATAGGCACATTTAATTGTGCTCAAAAAAGTGATTTCAAAAAGTCTAGTCATTAAAAATATACCCTATATTTTACGTACTCTAATGTAATAATAGTTGCTCCGCATTAATGTAAATCTGTTGTTTTTTTTTTAAACTACAGTTAAACTGTGTGTATATAAATTCTAGTTCACAATATAATAGATTATCTTAAGTATCTTTTAGACATACACCACAATATTTTTTAAACGCATATATACTTAAAAAATAAACATAATTTTGACATAATTTCGACATTAAAAATCTTGTAATTTAACAAGTGAAATTATTAACATGGCACACGACCTTAGGGTTCAGTCAATATAATTTTTTTTTTTAGCAACTGGGTCATCGATAGTTTTTAGGCGTATGGTCTTTTTCATTAACTACTTAAAACTCACCATCAAATAGTTAACACCATAACAGCTGTGACCCATTATAACTTCACCGGTTTGTACCAGAGATATTTGAGGTAGGCGCAAGAGGTAGCCCAGTTTTCTCCATCTCATGACGTGGCCAAAGAATTTTGATGTGAGTGAAAAGATTCATTTCTCTTTCAACAGTGTGTGTTTGTGTGTGTATATATATATATATATATATATATATATATATATATATATATATATATATATATATATATATATATATGTGTGTGTGTGTGTGTGTGTGTGTGTGTGTGTGTGTGTGTGTGTGTACAAATATTTTTAATGACAGTTAAACTTTGCATATAGAAATTATAATTAACAATATATAAGAATACCTGAAGTATCTTTTAGATAAAATAATGTCTCAAAGAGCCAGGTTAGCATTCTCCACAGGTTTTCTTGCAGTTGTGTTTCATATATGTTGGGAGCCAGGTTAGCATTCTCCACAGGTTTTCTTGCAGTTGTGTTTCATATATGTTGGGTTAGCCCGACACTGGCCATTTCTCTTCCACTCAGGACAATTGGAATTCAGATCTTCGCAAGTCACTTCGCTTTCACAAATCTTACAAGACTTCCGGCAGTGGGTCGCCATGTAGGCGGGGTTGTTCTGACACTCTCCATTACTGGCCCAGACGCCACAGCTTCCAACTTTATCGTCGCATTTTGCTTCGTTTGTCTTGTTGTTCTTCTCCTCTGTGGATTCTCCAACACACAGTCCGTTGTCTACAGTTTGGCCTTCAAGGCATGGAGAGGAACAGCCTTTCTCGTACGGTTTCTCGCCGTTCCAGTTTCCTTTGGGAGTGTAGAAACAGACCAGGTACCAGGCATTGGGGGCAGCTCCGGACAGCTGACCACATCTGGTACTGTAGCAGCCAATCTTGTTTGTTGTTCCCCACACCATCTGGGTTAAATAAATAATAAAACAACGTCATTTGTAATTAACAAGCTTGTTTTTATGATTTCAGGATTCGTCTCCATCATCCCGTAACACAGCTACTGACTGTCTGATCAGCTCTCTCCACCTTTGGGGGTCAGTTGCTATGAACTTTATGGTTGCATGTTTAAGACCTGTCCAGTCAGTCAGGTTCTGTAACCAGGTCTTTCTTGGTCTGCATCTTCTCCTTTTTCTCTCTACTGGGCCTTTAACTATTTTTTCTTGGGAGGCCGTTAGATCTTATTACATGTAAATACCATTGCAGTTTTCGCCTTTTCACTGTAGTTAAAAGAGGTACATAGTTGCCAAGTTGCCAATGTGCGAGCCTTTGCATTTGTAATGTGGTCTCTATTTGATATGTTAAGAATTTTTCCGAAACATCGCATTTCCTATGTTTGTATCTTCCTTTCGAGTTCATAAGTAAATGTACTAATAGCTAGTGCACTTAGCAATCGAATCTTAGTTTTGCATGAGATGTTTTTAGATTTCCATAACGTTTGCTGTTTGGCAAAGACTTGTGTTGTATGGTCAATCCTAGACATGATTTCTGGTCTTGATCACAGATCACGTAAAATGGATCCTAAATATTTGAAATGATTGACTCGTTCAAATTTGGGACCTTTAACGTAGATTGGTGAAATTATTCCAGCTGGATTATTAGTCATTACTTTTTTTTATTTCTGCGTTTATTTCCATGCCATACTTGGTTGATGTTTCATAAAGCAGATTTACGAGCTCGACTAGCTCTTGTTCTTTCCCGGCCAACCCATCAATATCATCTGCAAACCTTCAGTTTGTTAAAGTTCGACTTCCTATACTAACTGTTTCATAATGTTGATTTAGGGCATCAGTCATATTTCTTTCAAGGTAGAAATTAAACAGTGTTGGGGAGAGGAGGCTCTGCCGGACTCCTACTGTTGTTCGAAACTATTTGTCCCTTCAGCCTCACTGCACTGCTGGCCTTAGCATAAATCTGTTGTATACTACATATAAGAGTTTTACTTTTTCATAGTTTCCCAGAGTGCTGCACGCCATATTCTATCAAAGGCCTTTTTCCAAATCAATGAACACATAGTAGGTATATTTTTGGTGCTGGTGTTGTGGCTATGATATTATCCGTAGATTAAATATCTGAAGAACAGTGCTTCTTCCACCACGGAAACCGACATGTTCTTCTGGTCTGGTCTGGTAGTTTAGTTTCAGCTTCATAGCAATGGGTCACCCCATCTTTGCTCCGCTTCTGTGCCAACGAAAAACACACAGAATGTTTATCACAGTCCCTTGTGAAAGATTTACAGACTGCTGTCTCGGCATATCTAGCATACACCCGCATTAAAGCATACAGTAGCCATCCGAAGTGCTAACACAAACAGTCCGACATTAGAAATGCATTTCATCGTTGATGGTAGCAAAAGTCACCAACAGATCAGCAGTCGCCCACGAAATCAATTTTAATCACATACGGGCACCACCAACATTAAGACGACATGCCCCTTTCTGAATCTACAATTCACACCACTGCGTTGGTCACAGTCGAAAAAACATTCCAAATTAAATCCGCAGCTCACAGTGTCACGCCATGCACTCAACTCAGAAGCTGGGCGACAAAGCTATATCTAGTCTTCAAATTGAGCAAAAATGCATCGGCCACTGTCCGGCAGAAGCAAACAATTTGCCTCGGCTTCAAACAGTACCCCTGCCTAGCGTCCATTTTGACAGGATGTTCCTCTATGTCCCTCTACTATGATTTGTTTGTACATGCGGCTTTAATCTGTGTAGGAGTGCCTTGAGCATGACTTTACTGGGATGACTGAAGAGACTTACATAGTTCTATAATTTTGACATTATGTTACCTTTTTTGGGATGGTAATGATGAGTGATTTGGTCCAAAGAGATAGCCACTCACCAGTCTCCCAAATTTTGTTACAGATTTCAGTGAGGATGTCGATAACATCCTCTCTCCCGCCTTAAGGATTTCAGCTGGGATGTTGTTAATTCAGCAAGCTGTTTTTTTTTTTTTTTCAAGTTTTGATGGCCAGTTCTACTGCGTCCTGGATTAGTTGATAGTATTCCACCACACCCTGGGGAGCCAGTACTTAGGCACCCACCCGCAAAACAATGTAAGTAAGTAAAGTAATAAAGAGGGCATTAGAACAGAAAATAACTACATGTGAAATGTTCTATCTCACTAGAACAGAAAAAAACTACATGTGAAATGCTCTATCTCTCTAGAACAGAAAATAACTACATCTGAAATGCTCTATCTCACTAGAACGAAAAATAACTACATGTGAAATGCTCTATCTCACTAGAACAGAAAATAACTACATGTGAAATGCTCTATCTCACCAGAACGAAAAATAACTATATGTGAAATGCTCTATCTCCGTAAGGTCACCAACAATACTAGACGAGACAGGGTTACGAATACCAGCATTTGAGAGAAAGTTGAAAAAAGACCATGTCTGGATTATATTGACAGGCAAAGAATCAAATGTTTTAGCCATCTAGTGGGAATACAGCCATGCCAAACTGCATGTGAGATTTTTTTTTGCAGTATATTATCTGGGAGGAAGACGAGAGGAAGACCAAGAAAGACATGGATAAATGGTGTAGAAACCTGCAAAAGGCTGAACAAATCCATCACTCAAACCATCCGAGAAGCTCAAGACAAATACAGAAAACCAAAACACATGGTAACAGTGAGACGACAAAAGAAACAAATGCAAGTAAAGTATCCCTGAGGTTTGAGGTTTGAACACCGGATCAACATCATGGCACACGGGTAGTTACCCATAAGTGCTTCGTTCTTCTTCTAATTCAAGTCTGAGTCCGAAAAAGCTCAGCACAGTGCACAGGTTCTGTAGCACCAACGAGGATCGTGAAATACTTTGGGTAGAGTTTTAACTCCAATTTTTTGCCCGGGCAGCGGTTAGGCTTCTCTTTTTGATATCCAACTGCAAAGGGCTTTTTTTACGTGCTTAGCAATACACACGGGCGTCTGATCTCACTACCCAGAGACCAGGGGGAATTATTAGAAGTCCGTATCCACGTGAAAGTACCCTTTTATCTGCCTTCAGACGTATTGGACATATAGGGCTTACCTATATTTTACAGACCAGTCGGCACTCGGTGGGTCATGTGGTCATCAGACGACAAATAAACCGCCATTTTCCTCAGCTAGTGAGAGTTGCTTTGTTAGTATGTAGCATAGAGCATGGAGCAGAGACAAATATTAAATTATGTTTTAGACTCGGAAAAAAGTTATCATGAGACAGTAGAAGTAGCAGCAGTAGTAGTAGTAGTAGCAGTAGCAGTAGTAGTAGTAGTAGTAGTAGTAGTAGTAGTAGTAGTAGTAGTAGTAGTAGTAGTAGTAGTAGTAGTAGTAATAGTAGTAGTGGTGGTGGTGGTGGTGGTGGTGGTGTTAGTAGTAGTAGTAGTACATTTTACCCCACCAGGACATCACACAAGCGATAAACACCCGATGACACAAAGTGCCACCATGTGGATGAGGATCACCCGTGGAGAGGTCCTAGAAACCGCGTTCAGCCATTAGGCGATATTTATGGCCGGGCTATGTTGCGGCCCCTGATAAGAGCCAGGATGGGAGCTTTAAAATAACGAAAAATTGCATCCCACAAAGAGACGACTGGTTATACTAACTATCACAATGAGACAGTTGAACTGGCGAGATTATTTTACGCCGATCAGTGATTATCTCGTGAACAGTATTCTGCATAAACTCTCATCTGTGTCCATCAGGATCTAGTGGCAGGGCGAGTGTAGGGAATGGTATGGTATAAATTATCTAGGTAAGTATAATCGATTCAGGTATGTTATAAATTACCGGGTATAATTAACTGAGTAAATTTTACACTGGTCTCTACACACTAGCTCGCTTCTGATTGGACGACCTACTGACCACCACCATATGATAGGTCGGCCTCGAGCGGACCTACTTTAACACTCGCGCTGATACCCCGTGCTGTATATTTCACCATGCTGAGATTTTCACACTTCTGTCACAGGCCATCTCTTTCTCGGAAATAAAAACGTAAATGCCAGAAAACAACAGACTGCAACACCTATAATCTCGACCAGGGTAGACTATGCCAACCATCTTATCATTGGAGTTGGCCTACAACCAGTGGTTTGTAAATGGGGAGACCATCGTATAAATAACCCATTAACTGACCTGTGAATAATGACACGCCGCGCTGTTGCCACAACTGTACTGTCCATAGCTGTACCTGTCTTTTTCGTTAAACCAGGCGTCGGCGGCATGTTTGATTAGTTCCTCCTCGCTCAATTTGTTAGAATTCCAAGCCAGATTTTCTCCTCTCCCTTCTTTCATTTCATGTTTGAAGACACATCTCTCCGCCCAGGAACGAGCTTGTTTCTCCAGATCCTCATCTGAAAATGTACAGATTCAACAAATGAGTCAAAAGTCAAAGCTTTCTGCTATACATTAAGTACATGTCTGCAATGATTCAAAGGTCTATATTCAGGGATGCCTGTTTTATTCAGGGATTTTTAAAACAAAAGTTAGTCTCCCCAAACAAAGTGGGTCACGTTCCATTGATAACTTTGTTGAGCTGGTCTACTTTCCTGGTGGTTACGGGTGTGCCGCTCTGTTGTTTGCTTTCTGGCTTGTCTTGCATTTACGTTTTTCTTCCGAGAAAGAGAATCCCTGTGACATAGGTTGCATCTCCCTCTAGGGATGGGGGGGGGTGTTGTGTGTTAGACCCAATTTGTCCATGTTTTTGGAGAATTAAATATACAACACGCGATATCAACGGTATTACGGAAACTCCCGTAACCTTGTGTTAAGGTTACGTGGCTAAAAGTCGACCAATCAGAAGTTAGCTAGGCTGAAGGTCAAACAGTCAGTAGTGAGCTAGTGTGTAATACTGTGTAAATGGAGAGAGCAACGTTATTATCCCCAAGGGATTTTACCCCATCTCGTCCGAGATTTTGTAGGGAATTCTCCGGAACAGATTACAGGTCGGGGGGGGGGGGAGGGGGTTGGGGTGTTAGGTTTAGAGTCAGTCTTAGTAGCTTTTCATTTAACACTAAGGCTAAAACACTAAAACTCTTATATTCTAGGCATGTCATGCATTGGTTCTTTTCAACGTTGTTATCGTTTATTGCGCCAAACGAAGGCAGGTAATAATAACCGTAGACCGTAGGACTGTTCCGGGGAATTTCCTACGAAATCTAGCACGGAACGGGATGGGATAAAAATCTAGGTGTGATCTACTATAATCTCCCCAGCCGAACTAGGTCACGGTCCATTTGTAGATTTGTTAGACTCGTCTGCTGTCCGGGGGGAGGGGGAGGTCTGGCTTGTCTTGCATTTACGTGTTTCTTCCAAAAAAAGAGAGTGCATGTGACATCGGTTGCAGCACTATCTACGAGTGTTATGGGTTAGACCCAGTTTGTGAATGTTTTTGTAGTGTTAAAAGAGGTGGCTTGCTTAAATATACTACATGCGATATGAACGGATTGCCGATCACCCCTCTCCTAGTGTGTGAAGGACGCGTGACTGGAGGTCGACCAATCAGGAGTGAGCTAGTGTGAAAGTGGGGAGATTATAGCAAAACTAGTAAATTTCACACTGGTCTCCCCATTTACACAACGCTACACACTAGATCGCTTCTGATTAGACGACCTACAGACCACCTCACCTCTGATAGGTCGGCCTCGAGCGATCCGACTTTCACACAAGGTCACTGGGCTATTTCGCACTCGCGCCCACACCGTGTGTTGTATATTTCACCATGCCAGAGTTTTTAACAATTCTAAAACATTTAGATACTGGGTCTAACACAAAACCCTCTAGAGAGTGACAAAACCTTTGTCACAGGCAGTCTCTTTCTCGGAAATAAAAACGTAAATGCCAGACAATAAGAGACTGCGACACCCATAACCTCGACCACGGTAGACTAGTCCACCCAACTTATCAATGGAATTGACCTACAACCGATGGTGTGTAAATTGGGAGACCATTGTATAAATAACCGAAAAAATTAACAAACATATGAATAGAATCGGGTTGCCATAGTCCTCATTTTTTTTAGGGTACACGCCTTTATTTCAGGAATAAATCTGAGCCTCCGCAAACGTTTTTTCGGCATTCATAGATTTTGTCCGTAATTTTCCGGCTAAGATGAAATTAGCACTATATGACTACAGTAGCTTAACGGCGCTGCCCGGAAATACAAGTAAGTTTTCTTTCATTTTTTTTTTTTTTTTTTGGGTCAATGTCAGAGTCTAACATTAGTAACCTCAAGTCGATAACACAATTGTATTTATAAATTGTCTTTTTGTCTCTTTTCGGATAGCAGGGTGTTTTAAAACTGCAGCAAGTTGGTACGTGACCTCTTTGCTTGTTGGATTCCTATTTCTATCTCTCTGTCTATTTTACCATTGTGTGTAAAGATTCTTCCCAAGTATTAAAATTCTTGCACTTGTTTAAGAGTTTGATCTTTGATCTTGATGTCGATAATTTATTGCTCTCTGCTTATCCCTATGACTTCTGTTTTTTCGATATTTAACTTCATAAGATGTTTACGGCAACTGTTGTGCAATTGGTTTAAGTGGTCCTGTAGCTGTTTACTTTTACTGTGGATCATGCACTTATCGTTTCCAAAGAGCAGCTCATTGAAGTCCTATTGTTTATCGACATCTTGTGGTGTCATGTTTATTTTAATAATATTGTCCATGAATATTATAAAAAGTAAAAGTGAAAGAACAGACCCTTATCTTACTCCTGATGTTAACTAGGAATCAGTCTATGAGACCAGCTCTTGTTCGAATAGCACTTTCACTTTCTCTATACATAGCTCTTTAACAATCTAGCACTGTTCCATTCATACCATAGTTTTCAAGGACATCCTATGGCAAATCTCTGCTCACTTTGTCAATAGCCTTTTCTTGATTTATAAAAGCGATGTTCATTTGGTGTCTGTGTTCTATTTTCTTTTCACTAATTTACCCTATGACGAAAATAGAGTCAGTACACCCTCTTCTTTTCCTGAATCCAACATGTCCTGGGCTCAGAATCACTTCTACAACAGATCTAATTGGTTGTTCCAGAACAGTGGCAAACATTTTGATTAGAGAAAATTACACACAAAGACAGCAAATCAATTGATCTGTCTAATTAGAGAGAATACCTTCTAATGTTTTACCACACAAGGCATATACCAAAAGAGGAGAGGGAGGTAGATCGAGAGGTAGACCAAAAACTAATGGAAAAATAACATCAGAGAAACTACAGCACTACGATGGTCGAAGCAGCCAGAAGAACCCGAAGCAGGTCCTTATATCTCCCTCGACACCCGAAACGCTAAAAGAGGACCTAAAGAAGAAGAAAACGAAGTGTTATGGAAAGTAAAGGCTGACGTGATGTTGACCGCATCATCAATCGAGTGCCGATTGTTCTATAATTATATGATTATTGTAACATGCCAAAATCTGCCATTACTGCTAATATTTACCACTTTTGAGGTGTAGGCAAGAAGTTGGGGGAGGGGGTCTTTGAGCTCGAGCATTCTGGGCCGCATGGTTAGTGCTCTCACCACGGACTGTGCATGTAAGAATTTTATTTTTGCCACTGAGAAGGGGGGGGGGGGGGGTAGAGGGAGCTTACAACTTCACCGAGGGTTATGTGGGTCTTCTATATGAGAGCCCGGGGCTCTCAACCGTCCAGCCCGTCTGATAACGCCAGCCTTGTGGTGGGTTGCTTGTATTAAATAGCATACCAGTATAGTATGCGGCGCCCGTGGCCAGGTGTTGCAAGTCCGACTCGTAATTCCAACGTACCGCGATCGAAACCCACACCTGGCGGCCTAGATTTTTATCATGGTATGGGGCGTCGCAGGTCGACCCAGCCTAAAATGGGTACCAGGATGTATGTCCTGGGGAAGTAAAGACGGGCGGCGTAATGCTTTCCATATAACCCACCTAGAGCCGATTGTCTGTAAAAATATGGGTCCTCTTTCCATATGCCCAATGTGCCTAAGGGGTGAAAATGGATCTTTAGTTTTTACTTACTTTTACCTGTATAGTATCCATTTTTCTTTAATTAAGCATAGGACCTAATCCGAAATAAGCCCTAACATGATTTTACAGGTTGCTCGTCATATATTTAAAAAAAAAAAATTATGCTGGGTGCCTCCTTTACATTGGAAGTTGGCTACAGTGTATCATTGTTCTCTTTGTCAATATTACTTGGTGAGGCCCCAATTTCTTCCACGGTGCGACTCTCGTACCATTGTCCGAAAACCAAGAGAACGGATTTGTATCCGTCCACCGCGGTGAAATAACCACAGTACTCGAGGGTCACCGGTGTGATGCTGACCACATTTCCCATCTTGGGCCGATTAGTCTATAAAAATATAGATCTAGCCCTATATGCCCAATAGGCCTAAAGGCGTGGAAAAGGGTCCTTTACTTTTTACTTACTCGAGGGTCATGAAATTGTTAACCGCATTCGCTAGCCTAAAAGCCGCGCGCAATATAAGCCCTACCCCAAATATGTTCTAATGAATGTCAGCCAGACGGATTTTCCTCCATCCATTGAACTACGCGACTGGTGTGTTGAATTATAAAATAAATCCGAACAAATGATATTACTGAAGTCAAGCTGAAAAGCTCAGTTTAGAGGGAGAGTTGTGAAGGAAGATTCTGAAGCTTTTGCAGTAACTACAAGTAGTCTGAATATGGAGGTCATGGCTGTGACTAAAGCAGTAACATGGCTAGAGACAAACTTTTACTGATGCATGCATCGATGAGTACGCTCGGGAAAATCGGTAATGGCTGGGTCCGAAGGCAGTGGTTGGCGGCTCTACAGAATTCACGGCTGACAAGGATTCGTTTTATTTTCCTGGCAGGAAATGTGGGGGTACAAGGAAATGAGCAAGCTAATACGCTCGCAAGTAAGGCTACTGTGAAAGCCGGACAAGCCATGGACCAGGCTGATATTCTGAATGCGCTAAGAGAGTTAAGACTATTGCGTGAACCAACTGAGAACTGTGAATCTGCAACCATGGTCATACTGCAAGTACAACACGTTAAACGGGGTGTCGCCAAACAAGAACACTACCCTTTGTAGTCAAAAAAATAATAATAAACTAACACAGAACTGGTGTCGTTAGCCGCTGCACGCTGCGGGATTTACTGAGGAGGGGATCCGAGCACGTATAGGCTGAGTCGTTTGACGTACAATGAGGATAATCTGTCGACTTACTAACTAACTAAATCAAGCTTAACATAAATGACAAAATAAGTGTAGATTGTTTATAGATTTTTTTTTTTAAATTAAAAAAGGCCCAAGGATATCAGCAACATTTGCACTGTCAATATATGCGGAGTTAACAACAAAATAGAAGCTATGAGAGAAGAAATGACAGAACGCAAAATAGCAAATTAGGAACGATGATATCAGGAGAAGAATCGAAAGGGAAAGCAGCACTGAACTTTATCGGTGGACAACGGATATAATGGTTTGGTCATTTAACAAGACTGGCAACAGACAGAGCCCCACAGAGAGCAGTTTATACAGATAAAGCGGTAACAGCGCCAGAGGTCGACCACGTAGAAAATGGACCGCGGAAATATCAGAGACGCTGAAAACTTTAATATTTTACTGTGGAGTTAAAAAAGAGGATTCAGGCTTTCGAAGGTAAATGCTATAAACACATTTTACCTTATATTTAGAATATAAAAACTCATAAATACGTCACAGACAAAGTATACATATTTGCAGGACACCATGAGCCTCTCTTGGCAGAGGTGAAACGTCGCAAGCTAGCTCGGTCTATGCACGTGGTGAGACATGATTCGATTGCAAATACTGTGCTTCAAGAAACACTGGGAGGTATTAGAAGAAGAGGGCAAAGAAGAACCTGAAATGATAACATCATGAAATTGAAAAGACTAAGTTATCATTCACTTATTCATCAAGCGGAAGACAGAGAAAGATGGCAGGTTTTGTGAGCTAGTGCTTCCATAATACACCTCCACGACCCTAACGGGTCAAGGGTTATGTTGTATACGACGCTAACCGTCATACTCGTTCCACAGATCTCTCCCTGTCTTGGCGTTGCGAAGCCTTCCAGGAGTAGAGAAAATAAGAAGGGGAAGAAAAGACATCAAGTGAAAAGCCCTAAATGTCATTTGCAGCAAAAATTGAAAGAAGGAAAAAAAACGGTCTGGTTTTATTTTGTGGAGACACGTGTTATTAAGAAGCAAACGTGCGCTTGGGTTTGTTAGAAATGGTCGCTGTATTTATTCAGGCTTGCCTCTAGCTAACTGAGACGGCCTAGTGGGGGATATGATGGATGGATGGGTTGATGGATGGATGGGTTGATGGATGAATGGGTGGATGGATAAGTTGATGGATGAATGGATGAATGGTTGGATGGATGAGTTGATGGATGAATGGGTGGATGGATGGCTGAGTAAATGGATTTATGAAAGGGTGGGTGGATGGGTGAATGGATGGATGGATGGATGGATGGATGGATGGATGGATGGATGGATGGATGGATGGATGGATGGATGGATGGATGGATGGATGGATGGATGGATGGATGGATGGATGGATGGATGAATGGGTGAATGGTTGGATGGATGAGTTGATGGATGGATAGGTTGATGGATGAATGGGTGAATGGTTGGATGGATGAGTTGATGGATGAATGGGTGGATGGATGGCTGAGTAAATGGATTTATGAAAGGGTGGGTGGATGGGTGAATGGATGGATGGATGGATGGATGGATGGATGGATGGATGGATGGATGGATGGATGGATGGATCTGTATATGTATGGATGTACATATGTACATATGTACACATACCATATTCCAGTTTGTTGATATGACACCCGCCCTCTTGCCTCCTCCGGTCATTATGAATCTTCACAATGAGGTCTCGGGTTTCCTGGTTCCATTCGGATGCCGCCTGGGACGTCTGGATCATCACAACGAAGAGTAGACCAGCTAAGAATAATCCACTTGTCAACATTGTGAAATCCTCCAAGTTACCTGTACAGAAAGAAAGACATAAATTAATTTGCAGACATCTGTCGATCGGTGTCAGAAACCGCAGTCTTCTCTCGTGACAAATATTTCTTGTCAGAAAGAAAATCTGTTACTGCAGTCACGGGTAGCATTGATAGAATCATCAGGCAGATGGAATCTACCAAGCACATACAACAACAACCAAAAAAAAAAAAAAAATTGGGATCTTCAAGAAAAAGTTCCATATCTTAAGGACATGCTTGTCAGAAGCAGACTGCTTCCGATCCTGAAAACAATTCCTGTTGGTACTTTCAAATGCTCCCGTACATGATGTAAAACATCTCGTTTTGTGATCCAAACCACAGAGGTCTGCTTCCCGAGGGGTTTATTTTACGTCAGAGAAGCATTCACTTGTGAATCACGTAACCTAATTTATACCATCAACTGAAAAAAAAAAATAATATATATATAAAGGCATATATTGAGGAAACTAGTAGAAAGCTAGAAGATCGCTTCCGCGAGTATCTTGCTGACACTCGCAATACAGCTCTTTAACGTGCCTCCCTTAACAGTTCTGGCCAATAAGAAAAAAAAAGATATCTCAATCGCTGCTTTTAAATCCTGCTCTGGTGATTAAACCAGCCGCTACTTATAAGAAAATCGTGTCATCCATTGTGTTGGCGTTCTCGGCCATGGAGGGATTAAAATTCGACGCATCTTTATTCAATTAAATTATTTACTTGTTCATTTATTTAATTTATTAATATTTCTTCCCCTATTTTCACATCGCCTTCTTACTTATTTTATTCCATATTGTAGCCTGCGATTCGGCGTCTGTGGCCTAGGCGTTGCTAACGCGCTTCGTAATGCCGGGGTGGCTGGTTCGACCCCAGCTGCAGGTCTTGCGCCTTGCGTTGTTTTCGACAGTGATATCCAGAACCCACAGTCCAGAAAGCAATGACAAACTACTGGACGGAAATTTGCCTAGAAAAACCACAACAGCCAAAAAATGCTGTAAAGGATACGCAAGTCATTTTTTAAACTTTTATTAAGCCTGTATTTACCCTCTGTTGAGCTATCTAATAATAGTTTGTGTTATATTGAGCATTTCATACAGAAAAAAGTTTCATTCTGAAAATCCAATTCAAACCAATCGAAGGAATGTACCAAACAATCAGAAAGAGTAGGTACTCCTCGCCGGTTTCTTTGTATCACTGAACATACATTAGTTTTGAAGAAGACCAAAAGTGGATACTAATTTAACATAAAACAATACATTTGTTATGATTAATTAGCACAGACTACCTGGAAAGAAATGGTTTTCATCAACAGCTGCAGCAGAATTTGAATCAGAAACCTGGAGTTTCTAGTTTTATACCGAACAGATTCACCAAAAAATGAGTGATTTATTGCGAAACGAAGTTCAACGAATTACCTCAGAATATATTCACTGGCTTTTAGTAATGCCATATTAATTACTGATTCACATTGGAATAATTATTCTTTTGTGGTTAATATCGTGAAGTCTAAAATGTTCGTACTTGTAGAATAGAATACAAGTTGCATTACTGCTAATGAAATGATTATTATGATCTCTTTGATGGCCGAATGGTAAATAACACGAGGTTAGACTTGCTGGTGCCAAATTGCATATCAAAGGCATAATTACAGTCGTCTTGCTATAGTCGCGGAGTCGCCGTGGCAGAGCGCCTAGACGAGCGCCACGGATCGGAAGGTCGTGGGTTCGCTTCCTGGCGGAGCCGGACTTTTTTTCAAAAGTGACCTTGGCTCCCAGGTCGACCTAGCCTTGAGTGGGTACCGGGTGCAGTCCCAGGAAGTACAGGCGGCCGGAGAGATGCTGACCACATCACCCATCTTGTACACACGTAGTAAATGCCGTTTAAGATCGAATGCAGGAGTGTCAAGAACTTTTATAGTTTTGAGTTATTATCTGTACAGCACTCCGGACACATCCATGGGCGCTCAGATTCCCCTCTCAACATATTCATCAGCGTCGTGCGGGTAATAGTACCAGTCCTATGTTGGTTAACAAACTTCGTGTGCGTCCGGTGTGCTTCTCATGCTTGGCTTTGCCGTTCTTTACTCCCAATTAGCGTATTTTTAGCAGTGATGTGGTCACGTTACTTCCAAAATCCTCAGAACGTCCTATCTCTCTAAGGGCAATGACAATGTCTTCGTGATCTATGGGCCGGCCATCTTCAATTAATTCAGCACCTGCCAGTCTATCAGCTCTCTCATTACCAACAACGCCTGCATGCCCTGGGACGAATATAAAATTAACTGCACACACAGGTGAATTGACTCAAACAACTGTCTGCGTAACCAGCCTGCCTCGACCCGCCGGATCATGCTCAAAGAATCACTCAGTACACACGCGGAAATAGCCCTGTGATCCCAGTCACATGAAAGCCTGTGTCATCGCCATCACCTCCCTCGTCATGATGCTGGTAGCCATGTAGAAGGCACGGCTGGCTTCCTGAATTGTTCTGCCTGAAGAGGAGCTGTAAATGCCCATGCACTCTTATGTCCTCCTCTAACGGACCCGTCTGTGAAGATCACCACATCTGTCTCATCTGACTTGTCACTGATAAGCGCGCATACCTCGACATTGACAGCAGCTGGATTCTGCTCCCGACAATTCATATTGAGCGTCACGAGAATGTGAGATTGGGCGCTTTAGACGCTGGTATCCACTCCTCACCTAGATGGATGTCTGTAAGGCTGCAAACTTGCGTGATGTCATCCTCTGCCCTACCCAGCCATGATTTGCTCCTTTTAAGCCTATTGCCCTTTTTCTTGAATAGCATGTGGTGCAAAGGGTGCTTCAGGTCTTAGCATGAGGTTTGCATGAGCCCTCCAGATCTTGATCCTGTAGTTCATGAAATGGTCAACATGTTCTTTAAAGGATAGGCTGCGATCAAACCTCACTCAGAGGTATGCCATCAGATTTGTTCACGTCAAAATTTCCTCCCTGCTTTCCACTGCTGGTAAGTCTGCCTTCATTATATGCGTGGTCAAAGAGAAACACGTTACTGAGGCCTTCAAAGGGTTGACATGAGCATTAGAATCTGCACACCAGGAGGAGATGCGATTAGGTTCACTCTGCATTGACTTGGCAATCTCTTGACGATCTCTTCCATGTCGATATACTAAGAGATCATCAGCAAATGACAAGGTCCTGCCACTCCCATGCAACTGCTGCTCAGTTATCAGCACTGTGTACACGTTGAATAGCAATCTAGACAGTTGAGAACCTTGAGGCAATCCTGGGCTGATGGTTATCGGTTCTAAGGACCAGCAACTACACCTGAGTATCACTCGTCTCTGAAACAGTGCTGCTGCTACCCAGCGGGTGATGAAAGGAGATACTTGCAGTTGGTGAAGTATGTGCACTAAGTATTCAAATGGTACTCTGTTGTATGCATCCTCTAAGTCTAGTGCAGCTGTAAATGTCTTTTCTCTTATCTGAAAACGTTCATAGACTTCACAGGCGACGACCGTTGAGGCATATTTCTTTGTTTCGTCTGGATCCCCCATGTGTGGATGGTAACATGACATGCTTTTCTAAGTCATTAGCGAGTCTACGTGCTACAATATTCTCCAGAAGCTTGTCCGTAGTGTTCTGCATGGTAATGATTCTGTAGCCACAGATCTTGGAATAGTCTTTATTTGGTTTTGGTAATGGTAGTAGGTAGCTGTGTAGCCAATCCTCTCTGATTTGACCACTTCTGATGCTGACGTTGAACTCTATTGCAAGTTCTGGCATATCGTCCTCTGACATCTGCAACATATCAGCATACTGGATGCCGTCAGGGCCTGGTGAGGTGTAGGGCGATTTCCTAAGTGTTGCCCGTATGGTCTGAGTTGTAATACTGTAATCGTCACTTAGCTCTGCTTTTTTACACAACTCTGTAAGTGTTGACCTAACTCTCAAACTGGCTGCCTCATCTTTCTGGTCGGTCTGGTCCAAATAGCGCTGAAGTAGAGCCTACCCTTTATCTGCATCAGATTTCTGCCATTTCAGATCTGTGCTTTGAAAGTCAGGGATACTCCGACGTTGTGTGGTGCCATTCATTGCCCTATGAAGTGGCCAAAATGTGTCAAGAGACCCTTCAGAGCACACATTCTTACAGTAATCGTCCCATATCTCATTCTTGACCTGCTTTGCGCATAGTTTCAAAACCATCGTTGTCTTACTGACTTTATCTTTTAGGCCAGTTGGGAGCTCAGGCTGTGACGTGCTATTCTTCCGGATCTTCTGCCACACCTTGACGGCCAGCTTTTTCAGCCATACCCTTTCAACCTCTTCACCCCACCACGGTGGCTGAATCCATTTCTTTCTCTGTCTGCGAGAGGTATTCACTTTGCAGCGTCTAACTTTGCTGATGGCATCCTGTCCTGTGTTATCATACTAGCAAGTATTTATTCTGCTTATCTGACTGATTTTTTCCGCTCTTCTCAACCAAGGCAACACAGGGCAGGTAGTCGCTGTCGTGGTACCCCAGTGTATTCCATCTACAAACAGGAGCGATGGTGGGCGACACTAGAGCCAAGTCAATCACACTGTTAGAGTCACCTGGTCGAGTGGCTACTCTAGTGACGTGTCCGTCATTTAAACATACCAGTTCAGCAGATACCAGGGCCTCCTCCAGATCTTTCCCTTGTTTACTGGTGATGACATTACACCATTGTCTGCCCCTGGCGTTAAAATCTCCGCAATAAATTATGGGCTCTCCTGTAAACTACGGCCGGTAGACAACAGTACATGGCCGGTTAGTCGGAGTTCTGTCCCTTGGCTACAGTGCAATTACGGAGTGGAAAAGGAGGGAACGAAACAATTGACACAATTACTGTGTGTTGGCGATAGACAGCGTGCACTGCCCTGCTATAATCATACGGTTACGGTTTGGGTTAGGGTTTGGGTTAGGGTTAGAGTTAGGGTTTTGGTTAGGGTTGGGTTTGGGTTAGAGTTAGGGTTTGGGT